TGCCAGTACCAAGTCTGATAGGGCAATCTTGTCTTCGGCATTCTTAGAGCATCTCCTAGATATCTCCATCTTTTCCTTTCTATTGTTGTGTTGATATCTTCAATTACAGATCTTTCCAACACTTCATTATTTGTAATAAATTCGTTCCACTTTATTTGTAAAATTCTTTGTAATCATTTTATTAGAAAGCTTTTTAATTTTCTTTGCAGTGTTTTGTTTGTTTTCCATATCTCTGAACCATACGTCAATACAGGCAAAATATTGCTATTATTTATTTTTAATTTCGTCTTCGATGAAATGATCTCTGACTTCCAAATAGTTTTTAATTTCACAAAACCGATTGATGCTTTTTAAAGTTTTTGGTGGACGTCATCAAGGCGGTCTGCAGTGTTGGATATAATGCTGCCTAGGTACTTGAATTTACTAATTTCTGCAAGCACTTCTCCATAAAGAGTGATGGGCGTAGTTTCTGATTATAGGCGTAGTACTTCTGTTTTAGATACATTTATCAATATCAGCATCACCCAGTGCCAGATCTGCGACAGAAATCAGCGGTCATGGTTCTCTATCATACCTTTGCTTGGATGCTCTTAAAAAAGCTACGTTTCCTTGATCTTTCCCCTTTACCCATTTGTTTAGGTTCCCCAAGTAAGTTGCTCTTGGCCTACCACTGCCTCGTTTGCCTTGAATTTTGCCAGTGAGAGCAAGATGTTAAAGACCATTATGTCTATTCAGGTGTCCCAAAAACTGCATTTGTCGTTTCCTGGTTGTTTTTAACAGTGAGCGTCCCACGTGGGCTTCATCAAGCACTACCTCATTTGATTTCTTTTCCTTCCACTATACGCTTAGCAGTCTCCTAAGACATCACATTTCTGTTGCTTCTATTTCATTTCCACTGTCTTTAGTGATTGTCCAGCATTCACAGCCATATAGAAGTGTTGACCATACATAGATTTCAAAATTTCATTTTGGTTGTCATTGAGATGTTTCTATTTTTCAGTATGGAGCTCATTTTTATTGAAACAAACTTTAGCCATTGTAATTCTCCGTTTTATTTCTGTGGAATATTTGGCATCAAAGGTTATCATTTATCCTAGATTTTTAAACTGTTAGACTTGTTTGATCACTTCACCTTTGCTAACGAGATTACAACTAGGATTTGCTGCTTTTTTATATTACCATGCGTTCTGTTTTCTTTACTTTTAACTCTAATCCTTTACGTTCACTTTCTGTTACAACATTATCTAGAACCAATTGGAGGTCCTTTTGTGAGTTTTCTATTAAACCTGCATATCTGATGTTATTAATATTTTCTTCTTTTACTTTTAGACCTGGACATTCTTCTATGTTTCTAAGGATTGTTTCACTGTACATGTTAAAGAGGTCTGGTGACATAACACATCCTTGCCTCACTCCTCGCCTAATCTGCTTGCATTCACTGTATTCTCCATTAATTCATATAGCATTGCTTTGATCCAAGTACAAATTTCTGATAATTCTTAGATCTTTTCCATCTATGTCTAGCTTTTCCAGTATTTTAAATAGCTCATCATGTCTAACTTTATCGAACGCCTTTGAATAATCTATAAAGCATAAATACAGATCTTTCTGTGCTTCAATACATCTTTCCATTTACATTGTTAAGGCGAGAATAACTTTTCTAGTGTCCTTGTCAGGAACAAAACTGAATTGTGTTTTAGATACCTCTAGTCTTTCATTTGATATTAAATACATATCCAAAATAGAATATTATTGTCTCCTCAATAAAGATGATACTTTCAAACAGGTTGGAAAACAGAACAATTACTAATACCACGCAAAACCTGGACTTAACAGCTACTCGTGTTCATTAGTTTTAATGTTGTTTTTGTTTAAGAGCTATTGGTTTCGTGTCGAGCACGAAACGTTTTCTACATATTGAACTGTGTTAATTAAATTTGGTCTGAATCATCTGTCGGTGAAGAAAAAGAGGCAATAAAACTGCTATGGTTTTGGGTGGCCATGGTAAAATGAACAAAACCCTCCCTCCTGAGAATCACCAGATAGCTTGGTTTAGTGGACTACATCGTGTAAGTGTTTGAACGTCATGTCTTACCATTATTTTCGCCATGGTGTCATTCAAGTAGACACCTGCCATGCCTGGCACAACATTTTCTCACAGGGTCATTGTCTCTACACAATTTTTAAAAAACGAAATCATATCAACGTTGAAGTGGTCACCAATAATAAATAGCCTCGATATGAGTTCTTCAGGTGACGTGTGAAGTCCTATGAAACAGCAGCTGAAGAAAAGCGACTTTGCACCCAATTCAGACCCTTTGTTGCAACTCTCCGGGACATTTGGGATGAAATGACAAATACTTATATTCAAAATTTTTAAAAGTCGATGCTCAAAGGGCTCATGCTCTACACAAAACCAATGATCCCTAAGCAAATTACCAATGAGCACATGTAATGTTGAGTCCAAGTTTTGTGTGGTATTTTATGATTGCTCTGTTGTCCGCTTTGTTTGAAACTATCGTGATAAAATATCGAAATGAAATATCATGTATTGCGAAGACAAAATTCTCCATTCATTAGATATGGATTGTATGTCCATTTCTATCAATTCTGATGCTCCTCAATACACGAACGAAGTCAATTTAACATTTCTTTGATTTCGTAAAATTTTGTCAAACCTGATTTTTTAAGATCAATTTTGAGTGACCATATTTCGTCCTTTTTGAAAACATAGATAAATGATTAAAGTGGCAGACGAAGCAGACTTTATTTGGCTTTAAATTGGTATGCTGCATGGGAGGGTAATGCGAGGCTTTAACGCAATGATTGGCTGGTTACATTTTCAAGTTTCTTTTGGACGCTACTGTATATTTATTCAAAATTATTAGTGAGATACTGTAACTTGTATGCAGGAAAAATGGCTAAAACGTGGATATTTAAATAGCCATCACCTCCCTAAGTTTATTTGGCAATGTAATTTGTGTATAAATGTCTTTCAATACACAAGTTGTGACTGTTTGGAATATAACAATGCTGTTTCTTAACAAGTTGCAAAATCTTTCGCTACACTCAATGTTGGTAGACTTTATTAAGACTTGATTTTTTTCGAGCATACCGGTTAATGTTTTCATATTGACAAATGTAACGTCCCCCTGGTTGAAATTAAAGCCAAATCTTTTTTGGAATTGGTCCAGAGATACCGAGTTGTTGCCCTTTCTTTATACACCAAGTCCTTGGAAGTGTTGATGGACTAATACAGTGGACATGTACACGAACAGACGACGTACACTGCTGAAACATGATCATACGTGAGTGGTGATGCTCAGTGCCACAGGGCAAACGACGTACACTGCTGAAACATGATCATACGTGAGTGGTGATGCTCAGTGCCACAGGGCAAAGACTTTACAGGAATATCTCAAAAGATCAAGGTCATGACCTTGGAGTGGCCTGGGAATGATCATGGTCATTGAAAGTGTTGGAATTCCTGGAATCCAAGGTCGCTGACAGCTGTCCAGGGCAACAGCCTGAGGGGATGGCGTCATGGTGCTCAATGACGGCTGGTTTGTTTGTTTTGTTTGTTTGTTTGTTTGTTTGTTTGCTTGTCTGAGTCAAAAGAAACACATCATCACAATAATGGCCACCTAATGCTGAGAAAAGTCAGACAGAAACAAAAGAGGGAAAGTAAAGAAGTTGAACCTACCTGTGACACCCTCCAGCCACTCACCACTGACAGATGAATATGTCCAATATCTAGCACTACGTGCAAAAAAAGAACATAAGGTGGTTCTTGTTCTTCACGAACCAATGGTTCCTATGTAAAATTTAAAAAGAACACATCAAATGTTATGTCCAGTTTTTTTACGTGGACGTAGTGACTGCACTGTTTTGCACTGTGTTTGCAAATTCACTGTATCTGAATAAAACATCATTGTTCATTTTAGAGATAAACGTTTTCGTTCATTTGGTCTGCGATACACGTCAATTCCAACAGCGTAGATGCTCCTCCATGCAATTGGCAACACGCTAATACGTTTCTCTCTTACAGAATTTTGGCAAGGCTGATTTTTTAAAGTTAAACGTGGGTGAACGTATCCCGGGCAACTCTTCTCATGGATCTAACATTTGTTTGTCAGATGATGCAAAATCTATGCAGCTTTCAATCTGCATGCTGCATGAGTGGTAGTGCAAGGCGTGAATGCACAAGAGATTGGTGAATATATCTTTCAGTTTCTTTTGGATGCCACTGTATATTCTACATATAGAGACACTCTTACCCCCTTTTCCCAATCCCACACTCACTCACGCCTATCCATATCAGTATGTATTGACATGTAGGTGAACCATTGAAATTGCATTTGGATTGTCTTTGAGAATATAAGCC